ACGGGGAGCGCTGCTGCCGGCGGAAAGCCTCTCTCTTCCTGTATTGCTATTAGATATGTGTTAGGCCCTCCACAATAGGGATGCTCATAGGAGAGGGGAGGGGAGCAAGAGGTCAGAGGCATTCTTTTCCGTGGAGGATGTTGTCTATTGTGTTTGGATGAGCCTAAAAGTATCTTAGAGCAAGATTTCACAGACTATAAAGATATTACTGCTCGCTTTTACTCCTCAAGTATAATACGCTGCGCAACACCTGATTCAAGGTGCAAATGTGGGCTGTTCTGACACCCTGTGGTTGCACTCACCTGATATCAAAAGTTGAGCCAAGGAATGATGGGCGCTTGTACTCAGCAGTGGCTGCGGTGTAGGGTGGCTGGGGATCAGGCTCATTCCAGTATAGGTCCTTCTCCAGAATGGGTAAATCCTGATGCATCTCATCCACTGCCATAAGGGAGACCTGCAGGGGACAGCAGAAATGTCATACGGGGTGAGTAGCATTACGTGTGGCTGTTATCAGTGGACAAAGGAATGCTGGGCTAGGAGGAAGCAATGTAGCATAGAAGCGAGGCAAGTGGCTGGGTTTGCTATGTGGTTTCCTGTCACTTGGGTTGTTTTTCACACGGAGAGATTTGATTAATTGGAAGGAAAGTGATGCTGAAGGAGACAGGAGAGCAATATGCTCACTAGGGCAGAAGGGCTCAGTGTTAGGAATGGCTGAAGGTGGAGGGTTACTGCATGGAAGAAAGAGGAGGCAGTTTTAGATACAGACATGGTGGAAAAAGCTAGGGAGAGGCAGGAATGATGTGTCATGGAAAGGTAGCGAGGGTGTGAAACGAACAGCCTGGATCCATCGTGTGTGCCAGAACACGGACTAAAGCTGCAGTTGGTCTCTGTGCACAAAGATACACCAAAAGTCCTGTCTTCCCTGGTGTGTGGGGGGGGTCTTCCTGGCACAGGTCTTGCCCCACATTCTTCCTGGAGCCTGGGTTGTCTCCTTGGCTGCTGAGGGGGAACATTGAGCTGGCCAGCTTCACCCTCATATTTGTTGCGAAGGCTTATGCTCTCCTCCCGCTCTCCTAGCCATCTCCCTCTGGAGATCCTGGGCCTCTTCTTAACATGCAGCCACCAACACCTCAGGAAAGTGCAAGGGTAACAGGGACTGCTTCTCTGCCCCTGTGCAGGTATGGGAGGTGGGCGGCAGAGCAGAGGTGTTGCAGGAGAAGTTCATGATTGCACTGATGGGGCTTGCTAAGCCCTCAGGTGCAGTCCTGCCTTAGTGTTCCTCTGCTGGTCGGGCTCATCTGGAGGATCCTGCCTTCACTTTACCTGCAGGTTCCTGTCGATGAGCCAGTTGGTTTCAAAGTCGTCATCGTCCTCCCCAAAAGGGTTGATGAGTTGCTCGGCCACCTGCATGTGGAGAGCACATAGCAAAGGTCATCATGGTCATACCTGCCCCTTTCCATGCAGGGAAGAAGCCCTGTGGGGCAGAGTCAAGCATGATGTCCCTTGAATTCGGAGCAATGCTGTTCCTCCCAAAAAGGGGTGGGTTAAAAATGGAGGCTTACCAGTTGTTGGGAGACATTGGTACACATAGATAACTGCCCCTTGCTCACGTAGCCCTCTTGCAACTGCAGACCACCACTGCAGGTAAAGCATAGCCTACCGCCTCTCTTTTTCCCCAAACTAGTCAGGACCAAAGCTTAGGAAAGGTGGAGCTGATCTCCAGGGTGAGGCACTCAGAAACTGAGAGGGTCTTGGCAATACCCTCAGCCCCTGTTGGCTTCACATTTGTCTGCCAGCACCTGGCATGTTGCCCATAGACCAAAGAACACAGCTGGGTCCCTGGTGAGCACACACTGGGAAAAAACCTTGACTGGGTCAGATTCCAGCTCCAGACATATTTTCTTGGACTTACCTTTAACCATCCAGCATAGAAGAAGAACTGCAAAAATGTAAAGACAGGCACGAAGAGATCTAGTTCATGGCCAGGGTATGCTTTTTCTGGATCCAGGAACTGCCGCCCGATCAGACAGGCCAGGAAGAAGCTGTAAACAGCCACGGTCACCACCTGGGAAAGATGCCAGGGGATACACCAGAGAAGCTTTGAGTTCCCAGCTGGCTTTCCCAGCATCTCCCTTCGGTTCCACCCCACACAACTCCAGAGAGTGGCAAGCTGCTGCAGAGCTGCTGGC